ACACATTTTACAGCAAACTAACCCAATTCTCAGAAAATTCACTAGTTCATGTTATCATCATTCCAAAACGGCAGGATATGTGGACTACTCTATGAAAAACTCATGAAGGCACATGTTCTGTGATACTTTTAGGCCTAGGGTGCTGTTTTTTTATTTTACAATATATTCTAAAATAGGATGTTGTGCTCTTTCTCCAATGGGTAGAGTACACACGTCAGGAATCCAAGCTAGTGAGTGGCTCTTCTCTTCGTTATCCTTAATGGTCCCACAGCAAAATGTTCGATGCTTAACATTGGGATCTGCTGCTCTATCGGTGGAAAACACAAGAATCCCACAGAACAAGTAAAAACCATAATAATAATTTTTAAAAAATCGCCATAAGTTGAAGCTCCAGGAATTTATATTATTATGACTTTCTTTGCCTTTGCGGTTTTAAATTGCTACAGTAAAGCTCAACACACATTATCCTAGCAACGTAACACTTATCTGAAGGTTATATTACAACTGAATAGTGGTAGTTTTGCCAATTGTTCAAAATTCCACAATATATGTTTGAATATATCCTGCAGTAAATAATTTTCCTTTGGAAAATAGTCTTCAAATGGTAGACAAAACTTCAGGGTTCACACAAGTATAAGTACTTCTAGAAGAAGTCATGGAAATTAGCAATTCTAATCTAAGCTAATCTTAGAAAGGAAGTCAGGAGATAATTTTTCTTTCATCCTGAACTTATTTTAAAATACAGAAAATTAAAACTATAAATATGAATGTTTCTTTTCCTAAACAAAGATCTACTTTTTGGAAACTTCTTATTGACACATTTATTTTTTCTTATAGTTTTGTTTGCTTAATTTGAGACACAGAGAGACAGGAAGGCAGAAAGAGCCAGCTCCCATCTGCTGGTTCTTTTGTGGACGCCTGCCACGATCCAGGGTCAAAGCTGAGAGCCAGGAACCCAATCAGTGCTCCCACCTGGGGGAGGGGAAGCAGAGTACTGGAGCTAGTGATGTCTCTTGGGGTCCGTGTCAGCAGGAGCCTGGAACTGGGAGCCAGGGCCAGGTGACAAACTCAGACACTCTGAATGGGAATGCAGGCGGGACACAGGTATCTTAACCAGCATCTTAATTAATGAGCTCACCTCAAGCTCTGCTTTTATACAACCGTCGCTACATATATTACCCCTTTGCTGACTGCCAAATCGGCACTTGAACTACTGTACTCAGCATACACAAAGGACTATATGTAGCCAAATAGCAGAGTGGGATTTTGATCAAGGCAAAGTGGCAGCTTAAACACAAGAAAGGCTCCCAGTTCTGACCTCGTTAAATGAATAGAAACAAGTGTTCCATATGACTTGGCAATGAATAGGATGTGAAGATTAAGAGTGTATTAAACCATGCACTGCTTGTTTTTGTTTTCTTTAAAAATGATCATTTTTTTTTTTTTTTGGAATAGCTGCATTGTTGCACATGTACTCTGTGCATTACCTTTAATCTTCACAACTTTCCTTTTTTTTTTTTTAAGATTTATTTATTTATTTTTACAAAGTCAGATATACAGAGAGGAGGAAAGACAGAGAGAAAGATCTTCCATCTGATGATTCACTCCCCAAGTGATCGCAACGGCCGGTGCTGTGCCTTTCTGAAGCCGAGGACCAGGAACCTCTTCCAGGTCTCCCATGCGGGTGCAGGGTCCCAAGTCTTTGAGCCATCCTCAACTGCTTTCCCAGGCCACAAGCAGGGAGCTGGATGGGAAGTGGAGCTGCCAGGATTAGAATCAGTGCCCATATGGGATCCCGGTACGTTCAAGGTGAGGACTTTAGCCACTAGGCCAAACTGCCGGGCCCCACAACTTTCTTTTTTAAGGCTTATTTTATTTTATTGGAGATGCACAGTTAGAGGGAGAGAAGTAGAGAAAGAGAGTTAGAGAGATCTTCCATCTCCTGGTTAATTCTCCAATATCTACAATGGCTGGAGCTGGGCCTAGCTAAGCCAGGAACCAGGAACTTCATCTGGGTCTCCCACGTGGCTGCTGGGGCCCAAGCTCTTGGGTCATCTTTCATTGTTTTCCTAGGTACATTAACAGGGAGCTGGATTAGAAGTGGAATAGCTGGCACTTGCACCATCTTCCTTATGGGTGTTGGCACTGCTAAGTCACAGCTCCAGCCCCCACCCGCACCCGAACATTTTGAAGTATTAACTAATTAAGCACCAAAAGGATCCCCAAAAGATTTTATCAATCATGTCTCCATTTTTACAAAAAAAGAAATGGTGGCAAGAAAGGTTATGTAACTTCACCCAATATCACAGAGCTAGTATGTGTGATCTGGACCACAGTGCATGGACTACACATATACCAAGGGCTGCAACCAGGGTGAACCATGTGACTGGGCTTAAAGAGAAAGCAAAGCCCTCAACGATCAGACAGCACCAAGGTACAACATTTTCGTAAAGTTTGGTTGCAAAAATTTCACAATGAATAATTATCAAAAAATTAAACAAGGGGTTAGCACAATAGTGTTGCAAGCTACTCCTTCAACCACAGTGCCAGTATCCCATAAGGATCCTGGTTCACAACCCAGCTGCCCCATTTCTGATCTAGCTCCATGCTTATGGCCTAGAAAAGCAATAGAGGATGGCTAAAGTCCTTGGGCTCTTGAACCCATGTGACCTGGAAGAAGCTCCTGGCTTTGGATTGGCTCTGCTCAGACCACTGCAGTCATTTGGAGAAGGTACCTGCAGATATAAAAGTATATCTCCTTATCTCCTGTAAAATCTGCCTTTCAGGGCCCAGCACAGTAGCCTCTTGGCAGAAGTCTTCACCTTATACGTGCCCAGATCCTATATGGGTGCCAGTTCTAATCCTGGAGTCTCCGCTTCCCTTCCAGCTCCCAGCTTGTGGCCTGGGAAAGCGGTTGAAGACGGCCCAAAGCCTTGGGACCCTACACTTGTGTGGGAGACCTAGTAGAAGTTCCTGGCTTTGGATTGGCTGAGTTTCAGCCACTGCAACCAATTGGGGAGTGAATCAGAGCATGGAAGATCTTCCTCTGTGTCTCTTTCTCTGTGTATATCTGAGTTTCCCATAAGAATAAATAATTCTTTTTAAAAAAATCCTATCTGATTTTTAAAAATCTGCCTTTCAGATAAAAGAAAAGAAAAAAATGAGTAGCTGATACACTGTGCCCAGAGCCACCGGTGTGGCAACCTGGAACAAAGTATATGCCCTCCTGAAAATGATCTTGACACTGAAAAGTGAATTAAATAAAAGCAAGGTCAAAATGACTCATTGTTCTTTTCTGCCTTGGGCTCCTAAACGGTTTGGTATTGTTAATACTGCTGTATTTGTAATGCTGTAAATGAGGCAAAACCCCCATTTACCTCGTTCATATCATCCTAGTCTAAATCATACTATTTACCCAAATCAGAATCAAGCCACATTTTTCCATGAGTTCAATCTTGAGTTCCAATTCATTATTGGACTGTCTGAGTATGGTAGTAATTATATGAATTGCTGATACTGTCTTCCTGAAACATATGGGCAAAAGCATTTTAAATGTGACTGAATACCAAGAACATTTAATATTCAAACTAATTCACATTTTTCAGAGAGGTTAAAAAAGAATTGGCCAAAAAAGAAAAAAAAGGAGTTTTTATGCCCAGCCTTAGTCCGTTGCCCCATCCTGACCATTCCGAATGACCACAACAGCTATATTTACAAAATGTCATTTAACACATATGTGCGCATCTCATTGAACTGAATGATTCAACAATGATGGCTTGCTTGAGTTTAGCTTTATCTGGGTAGAAGAGATACAACAGAACTATATTTTGCTGTAAATCTATTGTCAAGGTATGTTTTCTATCCACTCATTTAATCCTCACACTACCTTGTTCTGCTGAACAAGGCTCAGCGGGACTGAGTGCTGATCCAAGGGCATGGAGTTAGGAAGCGGCAGAATTCAACTGGGATTCTGGGAAAAACAAAACCTATCTGCTATCATGCTAGGATAATTCAATTTTCTATAAACGGTGCAAAGTAATCTAGAAAACAATTTCAAATAAGACAGTGAAAACATACAACTCTTTACTGGATTAAAAGTGCATCAGATATGTTTGTATGTGGACAAAGAGCAAATCACTGGTAAATTGCAGCTGACAGCAACATGGTTTGCTAATGCATACAACAGAAGGTGCGCAAATCAGTTTATGTTGAATATAACAAATCTGTCAAACTTGTATTTTTCTTACATAAAGTGTACAGGAAAGAGAAACTGAAGATCTTAAAAAAAAAAAAATGTGTAAGCTTTGATGAATCTGACCTTCCACCAACCATGAGGTCAACTGTTTGGTTAACATCAATACTCCAAACAAAATGCTATCATTAAACACGATATTCCCAAATGCACAAACGTAACAAAAATTTGAAGCTAATACACAAAATTTTAACAAAAGGTCACAGTAGGGTCACTGAACATAAGTAAAAAAATCACATAGGTTTTGTAAATTCTTCAGTTGATTCTTCATATTTAAAATTCTTGACTGACTTTCCCCTTTCAATATCAAACCTGATATTCATTAGTATAAAACCTTGGTTGGAAAAACTGTTCCTTGAAAGTCTTTGCTCTGATCAGAAAAATTAAACATTCAAGAGGGAGTTATCTAAATATGAAATATTTTACAACAGGGGGAATAGTAATTTCATTAAATATTTCACTTATTTATAATATATAGTCGCTTGGTCTGAGACATACTAAAAAAAAAGTGTTCAGCCTTCTAAAAATGCAAGGATGTTAAAAAAAAAAAATTGGAAAGTATCCCAGATAAGAAACACCGTTTAAACATCACTATTTCTTCCATTTCTAAGGTAAGTGGCGCCTCATAATTGGCTAGGAAAAAAGCTACAAAATCACTCTTGAGGTTTGCCAACTTAGGACTGAGAGCAGAGAGCATCTGTACCTTTAAGCAATAAGTAATGTATCCCAGAGGGAAATGAGTACTCACTTGATAATCATTTCTCTTAATATTCGGAACATCCATGTTGTGAGTAGAAGGGCAAATATCCTCGTATTTTTTGCCAGTGAAAATATCAATTCCAACAAGGTGAACCTGAGAAAGGGCAAGCGGAGACCTGCTTAGTCTCTGCCAAGTGGACCACTCATTACAGACACAAAGTGCAGAATACCAGCACTGATTAACACAGACTCTTTCCCCTCCTTCCAAGGTCGTCTGATTTTAACTTTCTAAAAAATATATATACGGTGGTAACAAAACTGAGACGCAGTTAAATAAAAAAAAAAAAAAGCTGAAGTTAGGTTTCTCAGAACTGTTAAAACATGTTTTGACATCTGCAATCTGAATAGATCTTCTAGGTCACTAAGATTGAAGAGCTTCGTTTTCAATCAATGAAACATTACGTGTTCAAAGCGATGGTGGTTCAATCTATAGTCATGAAAAGAAAAAAGCAAAACCCTGCTTCCTACAAGAGCCTCAGTAACGTCAGGACCTAAACGGACCACCGCGGAGGGCACCTGCTCTCGGAAGGGCGCTTACCTTCGCATGGCCGTGCTTCCCAGTTTTGGAAGTTGACATCTCCACTATCTTGCACGGTCGCCCTTTGAGCACCACGAAGCCGTTTTTGCGCAGGGCCGAGCACTGCATAGGATAGGTGCTGGAAGCCCCGGCATCTCCAGTAGTGAAATCGATCTCGTCGGCCATGGTGGGCTTGGGACTGTATGCAAAAAGTTTGTTTGCTTTTCAATAACCAGCATGCAGGCAGGGAAATACCTCACCTCCGACAACTGACCTGCCCAGCATCTCGGGTCTGTCGTTTTTGCATTTACAGGATACCCACCCAAGATCAACGGGTACTTCCCAACTCTGGCCTATGCAAACTTTTCCAGCCACAGGGCGGGTCCAGCGGGAAGTGAAACCTCCCGGAGCTCACCGGGGGTGGGGGACTCGTGCCTCGGGCGTTCCCCGGGGCTGGGGGCTGCAGGTCCCTGCCCTTGTTGCCCCAAGGCACAGACCTGCCCGCGCCACCACGCCTGCATCCCCGCTGCAGGGCGCCCAGCCCAGGCCGCACGTCCCCAAGGAGGATGCTGGATGACAGGACGCGCTCAGCAGGACCTGGCCCCTAGGCAGCGGGCATGCATCACGCCCTCATCCCGCACATCTCCCAGGCTCCCCTCGGTCGGCCGTCATACCCTCACGCAAGCCGGCCCGGCCGGCTCCTCCAGGGCCTGCAACCCCGCGGGTCCCGCGTTCACCTCCAGGCCCCAACCCAGGCATTTTTTCCTTCTTCCTCCGACCACCTTCCCTCTTCCCTCGCTCTGGTCCCAGTTCCAGTCAGCTTTTCCCCAGAGTTTCACCTTTCAGCATCCACCGTGCACCCCGCGGCGTCCGCCTGCGCACGGGCGGCGGAACGCTCCAGCTGCGGTGGATGCGGCGGCGGCCGCGGGGCTGAGGCGCGGGGCGGGGCCGAGGCGCGGGGCGGGGCCAACACGAGGGGCAGGGCTGAGGCATGGGGTGGGGCCGACGCGAGGGGCGGGGCCGAGGGGCGGGACCAAAACGCTGGGCGGGGCCGTCATATGGGGAGGGGCCGGCCCCATCTCAGCCCCACTTCCGCGATAGGGCCCCGGCCGCCACAGGTACAGCCTCCGAGGGCTGCCATTGGCCACCACGCTTCCGAAGTCCCTCCCAGTCACGTGACATGTGCTCGGATTAGTGTACTTCCGGTGTGCAGAGTGCTCCCCCTAGGCAGTGCAGTTACCGAGGTTAAATTCGCTGGAAAGAAAACTTGTGCCCTGCAACTTTGAATTCAGGTCTCAGTTGGTGTGGATTGGAGCCAAGCCTCGTGCGCTTGTGGTCCCTGCTTGGTTGGTGTGGTCCCTGCTTGGTTGGTGACAGTCGTCAGAACCCGTGAGGCGGGGGCATTCGCCACGAACTCGTGGGAGCTGTGGAAGGTTCTCGAAGCTTTGACTTTCCGGTACTTCCTCCTTGGAGTTGGAACCCAGCTGCTTCCATGGTGAGACAGTGGTGATGAGTGCGGTGAGTAGGGGCTTCCTTAACATCTCCGGATAAACTACAGTGTGCCAGCTCCTTGGAAGAAGGGTGTTGAGGCAAGGAGGGCTGGAAAGGTTCGGTGACTGAACCATTCTTTCTCCCAACCTTGGCATTCTTAAGAATTTGAAATCTCTCTAAACCGCATTGGAGTGAGACATGGGATTGTCTTTGGAACCGGTGAGCATGAAGTGAGAACAAGGTTCCTGACATCATGTGCTCCCTGTTACCCAGTTCCATTTCATTCCCAGCTTTCACGTGGCTGTTGACTACAGTACACACACACACACACACACACACACACACACAACACATTTGCTTTCCAATTTCGCCTTCACAATAAAGTGACTCCCACAGTCGAAGGCCAGCCTCTACCTAGTATATGAGTGAGCCAGATTAGAACCCAGGGTTCCTGAGTCCAGCCTACTTTTCCTTACACCACCCACGCTTTCCTCATGGTTGCTAGAATGATTAGTAGTAGTGGGGGGTTGCTTAGGTAGGCAGTGTTGCGAGTATCTTCCTCATTCCAGAAGTTTCCTCCAGCACTCAGTGCCTGGCATCCACAAAGAGCTGCCTTTACTTGCCTTTTTAGTTATGAAAAAGGTCAGAGAAAAGTGGATTGTCCTAACTGACAGGGCCAGCCAGTCAGATAGCCAAGACGGAAAGCTTAGCTGGGTTAGCCTGAGACTTACTCTACCGACAAATATTTCATCACATAAAATTTGGATCTTGAATCAAATGATTGGATTCAATCATTCAACATATGTAGTCCTCTCTCCTAGAGTTGTTGGAACAATGAATTAGCAAATGCTGAACCATTGTTTAGAGTACAGGATTAGGTTCCCATGATAGTCCGGCCTTGATATTCCATTCATTGGTCAGTTATAGATCTTGCTTTTGTTTTAAGAATATTGAACACAGTTGGTTCGTTCACATTGAGCTGATGACCAATAGTGTCTAATTCCTGCCTGAAGGTAGTTTATCCAACACAGGAACTTGCTGGAAGGCACACAGTAGCTCTTCGGGATATTAGCTAGCTGTTGTGCTTGGGGACAATAGATAGGTCTTCAACATTGTGAGCCATTTTAAACAGGGAGGGTACCAAGAAAAGGACCAAAAAAAGCATGTGTCTATGTGTGTGCACACACATCTATGCAGAATCCCCCAAATCTGGCACTACAGACTGAAAAGAATACCTGTTTATAATTTGATAGTTGAAACAAGGAAACACACTAGTCAGGGTGACCTCAGCTAGGAAAAGAAGCATTGGATTACACAAATCTATGTTCTTGTTCACAGGTCATCCAGAAAGCACCACGGGTATTGATTTGGGCATTACAAGTAAATTTTATTGAGTGTGCAAATCCCCAGAGAAGGGAACCAGAATAATGTTTTTACTATCGTTACTTCTGGAATCGCTATGATGACCAAGATAGCTGCTAATTCATAAGGGCATTGTGCAGGACACAAGGCAGCTGTTTTAAAAGATAAACTAAATGCTAGTCTGAAAGAACAAAATAGATTGTAATGAAAGGAGCTCCTCATGCGGTCAGGGACTGCCCAATCAAAACTACAGTGGTTGTCGATGTTAGTAAGAATGATGTAAGTGAAATGAATCCATTATGCTTTGTTTAACCTAGTATCTCCAAGATATTTCACATGCAATCAATATAAAAATTAAGATATTTTACATTCTTTCTTTCAGCTTAAATATTCAAAATCTGGTGTCTTTTAAATTTATAATAGATCTGAAATCAGAATAGCTACTTTAAAAAAAAACAGATTTATTGATAGGAGCTGGTATCATGGCTTAGTAGGCTAAGGTTCTAGCTTTGGTGCTGACGTTCCACAAGGGCATTGGTTTGTCAGGAGCCGTGTACTGTAGCCACACTGAAGCCATTTTGAATATAGAACTATGGGCCAGTGGAAAATCCCCGGCTGGCTAGATGCTTGGGAAAGAAGTTATGAAACTAATCACACGCTTAGCTTCAATTGTTTCTAGCAACTGTTTTAGAATGTGATTTATGCTGTACCTGCCGACATCTTGTTACTGATTACCTATGCTATTGTTGATATGCTGGTTACTATTGTGGATATGGTGGCTGCTCAAGAACAATCGGTCTGGAGACCATGGCTTGCATCCTAGTTTCTCCTTTCCTCCCTGAGCCTTAGTTACTGAAGAATATAAAAACCCTCAACTAAAATCAATAAACTGACAGCTTGATCAGACATCCTGTCTTGCTGTCCATTCTTCGTGTCTCTTGTCTCCCAATCTCTCCTAGGTGGTTGCGACCCCCGTTGACTGTCCTGCTGGACAGGACATTGGTTGAAGTCCTGGATGCTCTGCTTCTTTTTTTTTTTTTTTTAAGATTTATTTTTATTATTTTTTTATTGGAATGGTGGATATACAGAGAGGAGAGAGAGAGAGGAAGATCTTCCATCTGATGACTCCCCAAGTGAGCGCAACGGGCCGATACTATGCTGATCCGAAGCCAGGAGCCTCTTCCGGGTCTCCCACGCGGATGCAGGGTCCCAAAGCTTTGGGCCGTCCTCGACTGCCTTCCCGGGCCACAGGCAGGGAGCTGGAAGGGAAGTGGGGCTGCCAGGATTAGAACTGGCGCCCATATGGGATCCCGGGTGTGCAAGGCAAGGACCTTAACCACTGCACCATCGCGCCGGGCCCGATGCTCTGCTTCTACTACAACTCCATGGTTATGGCCTGGAAAAGCAGAGGAAGATGGCTCAAGGCCTTGATCTCTGCTCCCATGGAGGAGATCCAGAAGAGGCTTGAGGCTTCTGGCTCCTGGCTTCAGATCTGCTCAGTTCTGGCCACTGTAGTCACTTGGGGGTGAGCCAGCAGATGGAAGACTGTCTTGTGCCCACGTACTGACTCTCTCATCCTTTTCTCCCTGTAACTCTGCCTTTCAAATAAAAGTCAACTCTTTAAAAAGTTTATTTATAGATGTATTTGAGAAGCAGATTGGCAGAGTGAGGTTTCCCACCAGGTAGTTCACTCCCTGAATGATTGCTTGCTACAGATTAGTCACATTTCAAGGGCTATATTTCTGTGTGTGGTCGTTAGGTATTGTATTGGACAACATAAGTCTAGAAGGTGTAGAATTTGCTCTCTGGGGGTGATATTTGGGATTTGAAAGGTGAGAAGAAGCAATTGGAAGAAGTTTGTGAAGATTTTAAGTGAAGAGAATGATAGTACAAAGGCTGATGGCTGACAGAATTATGACATCGTACCCTGCAAGTCGGAGGGGTGGGTGTTGCACGTAGAGGGGTGAATGTCTGGTGTTGTGATGCCACAGGTTAAGCTGTTGCTTATGAAACTGGCATCCCATATCTGAGTTAAAGTTATGGTCAAAACTGCTGATCCAGCTCCCTGCTAATACACTTGAGGAGCAGCAGAAGATGGTAAAGTGCCTGGACCCCTTCCACAGATGTGGGATACAGGCTGGAGTTTCTGGCACCTGACTTTAACCTGAAGTAGGCTGAACTGTTGGGGCTATTTGGGGAGTGAATCAACAAATGGAAGATCTTTCTGTGTCTTTCCCTCTTTTGTCACTGTTCCTTTTATATAAATAGGTAAGTAAATAAATATTTTTTAAAAGATTTACTTCTTAAAATAATATATATTTTTTTATTGGAAAGCTGGATTTAC